GGCACTCTACACACACTTCCCAAGAACACACTCCCTTCACAGGGCTCCAGGCAGCTAATTCTCTCTGAACCCCTAGAGAACTCGAGGAAAACTCCAAAGTAGCGAGTGCCAGAGGCAGTAGGATCCGCCCTAATCCCAGAGCAGGGTCATCTTTTAACCATTCCCTCTAGCAAAATGCCAGGCGTCATTCCGACTAAACTCTGGCTCTCAACATTAATATCCCATTTATTTTCTCTTCTTTGCCTTTGGATGTCTTAGAATAAGAGACTCCCTCTAACTGCCAGTGATGACCATATTTCAATCTGATTTCAAGGGATTCTAATCATTTGTTCCTGAATTAAAAGCAGGGTTCAATATTTTCAAAATAACAATATAAATTCTCTTCTTTTTCCACCAAGGGTTTTTGGCAGTATGATGTTCAATGTCATGAAAAGTATGGGAAAATGTGGGGGTGAATATTTTGGAAACTTCTCTTGGGTAGACTTGTTGGATGAGGCACTCCAGGGCAAGACGACAATGCCAGCCCAGAGCTATTACTGTGAATTAATTACATAAAGCTTTTAGAGGCTCCTCCTCCTACCAAAAGTCCCATATTTCACCAGGTGTCAAGGTTCATGGCCAAGAATGTAATATTTTGACTTTTTTTCTCAGTGTCTGATGACCCAAAAACTCTTGGCCTCACCTTTTCTCCAGTGCTCAGCCTCTACACCCTTTTCAATTTTGTCTTCATTAGGAGCCTTTAATACTGCATAGGAGGCATTAAGTCAGACCTTTTTAAAATGTGCATGGCTTTATCTCCTTTCAAGATTACCACATTTAATAAAAGTGACCTTTATATAAATTTGGGGGTTATTATGTACATTTGAAAGAAAATCTGAAAGAGAGATGAACAGATTGAAAAATAATTTGACCTCTGCTTTCTTTTATTTTAACTTTCTCTGCAAGTGTAAAGTCTTGGGGATTTCATTTGTTTTTCCCTGTCAATTAGGAGTTTTCAATAGAAGTGTACACAGAGATTTCTCTGCCTACCTCATTCTACTGACTTTGAAGAATAGATGGCCAGTACATTTTAAACCACTATGTTCCCATGACCTTGTGTACTTCATAATCTGCTAGGGTGACATCAGCTAATTTCAGCAGCCATTTTCTCAATAGTTCTTGGTGAAAGCAGCTCCAGAGGTATTATTGTAGTTCTTGTGTTCTATAAGCAAGTGGGAGATGGCTTTGCCTCTTCCTCCCTCTTCATCTCTCATCAGGTCATCAAAACTGCACAGCTGGCCACATCATCCTGCCTAACTTGTGTGGCCCATAAAGGCCATTTTTTTGAGTGGAAAGAACATACAGGACTGAGTCCCCACTGATACAACCCCAGCTGTCTCTTGCATCTTAAGCACTTGTAAGAACTTAATAATTTACTTGTCTATTTTTTCTAATTTAATATCCTTTTACATCAGAAGAAACAATTAAAGCATAAAAGAAGAACCTTCAGAAATGGATAAAATCTTTGCCTCCTGCACTTAATTTATGGTGTTAATATTCAAAATATACAAACAACCCAATAAGCTTAACACCAAAAAATCAAGTAACCCAATCAATAAATGGGCAAAAGAGCTGGTAAGACCCTTTTCAAAAGAAGAAATACAAACGATCAATTAATATATGAAAAATGTTCAACATATCTAGCAATTAGAGAAGTGCAGATTAAAACTCCACTGATTATGAAATATTTTTAAATACAAAAATTATTGGAGAATGAGATAGAAAACATGTATGTATCATTTAGACATCTCCAATCAGGTTCTTCTTATGAAGAATTTTTTTCATTTTTAAATATCTCTTCCCTGCTTCAGTTACATGATCTTCATTTTATATGGCCAGAATCTTGTTGTGTGTCATCACCTAGCTTGAACTTGTATCTAGTGTCACTGTGCGTTCTACAGTCAGGCATATGGATTATGGAATATCAGTTTGGATTTCTGGGTGTTGCTCCAACTGAAAAATATGGCTTAGTAGGTTTAATGAGCTCTTCTTTACCAACACAGATTGTATCATGTTCAAAAGCCTGTGTTGGTTATTACGGATCCAGAGATGATTAAAACAGTGCTGGTGAAAGAACATTATTCTGTTTTTACAAATCGGTCAGTAAGCATTCATTTTTGTAAATCTCTTTTTTTTATTGATTTTTTTTTAAAAAACATGACAGCAGAATGCGTTACAATTCTTATTACACATATGTAACACAATTTTTCATATCTATGGTTGTATATAAAGTATGTTGACACCAATTAATGTCTTCATACATGTACTTTGGATAATGATGTGTATCACATTGCATCATTTTTGCTAACCCCGTCCCTTTCCTTTCCCTGCAACCCAATTGCCCTATCTAGAGTTAATCCATTTCTCCCATGCTCACCATTCCTAACCGACTATTAATCAGCTTCCTTATATCAGAGAAAACATTCGAGCATTTGGTTTTTTTTTGGGGGGGGATTGGTTAACTTCACTTAGCATTATCTTCTCCAGTGCTATTCATTTACCTACAAATGCCATGATTTCATTCTCTTTTATTGTGGAGTAAAATTCCATTGTGCATATATTCCCACCCCTTTATTTATCCTTTAATCCACTGAAGAGCATCTAGGTTGGTTCTACAGTTTAGCTATTGTGAATTGTGCTGCTATAAACACTGATGTGGCTGTGTCCCTGTAGCATGCTGATTTTAAGTCCGTTGGGTATAGACCAAGGAGAGGGACAGCTGGGTCAAATGATGGTTCCATTTCCAAATTTCCAAGAAATATCCATACTACTTTCCATATTGGCTACACCAACTTGCAATCAAACCAACAATGGATGACTGTGCCTTATTCTCCCCATGCTTGCCAACATTCATTGTTGTTTATCTTATAATAATAGCTGTTCTGACTGGAGTGACTTGATAATGGTTTTGATTTGCATTTCTCTGATTGCTAGAGATGATGAATAGTTTTTCATATATTTGTTGATTGAGTGTATGTCATTCTCTGTGAAGTGTATGCTCAGGTTATTTTAAAAAATACAAATATTTGTTGATTAAATTTGTGTCTTGGAGTAATCACAGCTTCACAGAAATTTGCTCCAAAACTTTTCAGGGAGGTTTCATATAACTTTTCTTCTGTTTTTCCCAATTGAAGTGCTTTGAATATCATATTACTTATCTCTGAATGTAGTCTATTCCTGTTACTAGAGTAACCAGAAATTGACATCTATACAATCCATAGAACTTATTTAATTTCACCAGTTTTATGTGCCCACGTACATGTGTGCCTATGTACATTTGGGCGAAATTGCTGCTGTGGATAAATCCATATAATCATCAGCTTTCTTGGGACATAGTGATCCCCAAGGCTCCTTCTTGCTAGTCTTTTAAAGTCCTGATAAGTCACTTGTCTTTTCCTCTTAACAGGGTCTCCATAAGAGCAAATATTGTCTTTTATGGGGGAGGCTAATACATGAAAAGCTTTGCCTCTGACTTCTATGTTGTTCTTTTTTCTCTCCTAAAAGTTATAAACTTTACAATTTACATAAAAACCTATGATCTATGTCATGCTCATTGTAAAACATGGTGAGGGTTAATTTGTTGTTGTTGTCTTGTTTTGTTGGCCTGTGGCTGTCCAGTTGTTTCAGTACCATCTTTAGAAAGACTGTCCTCCCTCTGATCATTCTGTTTTCATCATTGTCAAGCATCCATTTGGGCTGATAGTGTGTGTCTACTTCTCACTCTGATTTATTTTAGTTGTGCCTGTGCTTTTCTCTCCATCGTGATTTTTCTTGCAATGAGTCTCATTACAATCTTAAGTACCTACCTTGGAGGATGGTGACTATGTTAATAGAGCAAAGCAAAAAATATGTTATCATCCTGGAACCAGGGTTGTATGGCTCAGTGGTAAAGTGCTTGCCTAACATGTTTAAATTCCTGGGTTCAGTCCCCTGCACCACATTAAAAAAATAAAATAAATAAAATAAAGGTATTGTTTCCATCTACAACTATATATATATTTTAACCAAGAAGTTACCATCTTAACTTTTCTATGCATGCATTTTCCCCTTAGTTCAAAAATATGTGACACCTCATCTGGGGAAATCCCTAGTGTTATTATCAGAACAGGTCAGACTAGTGGCCTCTCTCAGTGGGTTTTATTGTAAGTACCTGGCCTTTGCCTCTGGCTTGTTGGTTTTTCTGATGACTTAATAGCCTCAGAATGCTGACCTGACTTCTCAAACTCCTGTCTCCTGGTATGTAAGTTAGCATTAGAGAATATAATACTGTTTAACTTGTAATTTTCTGTTATGTTTGTTAACCTGCTAAGACTGACTCAATTTGTCTGTTTCACTCCCACTTTATTTATTTATTTATTTATTGAGAGAGACAAACAAACAGAGAGAGAGAGACACAGAGAGAGACAGACAGAGAGAGAGAGAGAGAGAGAGAGAGAGAGAGAGAGA